TATTTTTTGCTTGTAGGTTACTCATTGCCCTTAGTTGCGCAGTGCCAGGGTTGGGCATGGACCACCAAAATAAATGGTCTGATGTTGAGGATGCTTGAACGCTTTTGTCAAAGCTTTATTGTCACGGCAATAAAGTTAAGTGAAGCACGTGCGTGTCTGCAGGATTGGGAATTTAAGGTAGCTCTCAGATAATAATCATGTAAGCTAGACCCTAGTGTAATAATTCATATGTTGCCTGCCATTCGTTATCGGGCAAATAGTCAGTTAATGACAGACCATTGGGGAAAACGAGAAAAATGTTTATGTGCCCATAGCGCTCTTTCCCTTCCCCACCACATCAGCCTCATACTGGATCTAATCAAACATTTCTTTTTCCTGCCTAGATTGCAAACATCCAGAAATGCCTGCTAATCCAAATGCAACTGATGTTAGCCGTTTTAATCCTGATTTATATTGCGTCTATAACGACAGAGAAGAAGCGGTACTGCCCCCGCCCCAATTACTTTCTCCCATTTTTATTACTCTGTAGGTTCCAGTTTGGCTAGTTTTGTAGTTGCTCAGACTCTTCTCCTGCTCTATAATATGTGAGGAATATAGGCACTCTTCTTCATTAAAAGAGATAAGTCAAAATACCTAACCTTAAAAAGCTGAATGCAAAGAAAAAAACCGACAAAAACCCGTTGCAGCACAGCGAATTCAAACAGTGCTATGAATTAACCAAAGGGAATCTATTGAAACCTATTGAGATACTTCGAGTCAAAGGATCCGTTTCTTTTTGTTGTTTTCCTAGCCCCAGCCAGCTGAAAAAAAACAAAAAAACAAAAAAACCCCTCCTTGCTTTCAGTCATGTACTACGGTAAAGATTAATTGCAACTTGAAAGGTACAAGTATTCTAAACTAATTTTCACAACAACAGAGTGGAAAAAATGTTGGGGAGGGGGAGACACCCGTCTTCAAAAGCAGGTGCAGCAGTGTGCATCATCTGACAGTTGGAGCTGCTGCTGGGCTGTGCAGTACTTCTCGCACGGCCGCTATGGCTCACCAGACAACACGGCTTGCGTTGAACCCTAAAGCCGTTTTTGATTGGGGAGTCTTCGGGGCAAGGACTGGGCCTTCCTTTCCATGTGGGCAGCTTCCGACCTGAGCACCCTGCGGGCACTACTGCACGCTGCATGAAGCGGCATACCAGTAATAATGACTTTAGCACCGATCTGGGGAAAGGCGCTGTCCAGTCAGTTGTAATAAACAGAGCCTTTTAAAAAATCAAATAGTATCAGTGTCTGAAACTCAAGACGTGACTGTTATTTTTGAAGCGTTTGAACTGAATGAGTCCCTCTAAAACTACAAAGCAGCCTCTCTTCCAACCCTATTTAACTCTTTGTCTTCAGCAGAAAACTTCCACGTTTCCCCCAGGGGATTCCCAGCTGAGTCCACCCCGCCCCCTTCCCTTACAAACCACTTTGTTTGCGCCAAGTTCCCTTCACAAGCAAGACGAGACCAACGGCATATGTGGGAATTTGCACAGGGAATATTTCATAGCTCCTCAGGCCAGGAGAGACCGCTGTCATCTTCTAGTCTGACCTCCTGTGTGACACAGGCCATAGGCCTCCTCTGAATGAATTCCTGTTCGAAACAGAGCCCAGCTTTCACAAAGAGATCCAGTCTCGAGTCACTTCAGCGCCACGTTTTGCAACTTTTTTTTTTAAGGGAATAAGGCATGTTGTGTTTTTCTCGCTCGGTTTCGTTTGTATTCTGCCAAGATGGAAAATCAGTGGCAGCAAAGCTCAATTGCATGGCGTTTTCCTTTTGGCGAGGCTTGCTGGGGAGACGCGTTTCTACAAGATCCCCTATTACCCTGTCCTGTGACAAGGCATTGCGGGGGGGGGGGGGGGGAGCACAGCCAGTTTGGGTCAAGGAGTTTGCTATTTTGAATGTTCCTGCGAGCGCATCGGAGCGAACGGCTAAACGGTTTGTCCACCCCTCAGCTTTATTGATTTGCCTACTTTACTCCAGATTTTAAGCATGCCTCCCTGTATCAGCCGACAGGCGCAGAGCGGTTTTGATTACTCAACACAGCACCAGCCTCATGCGTTTGGCGGAACAAGCCCAGAATTGGGCTGAAGTGTGACCTGCAAAGAGCAGAGCCCTGCCTCCGATTAGATGTTTTTTTAAATCGACCTTTCCCCCTTCCTGGTGTAAGTATCAAGTGGATTACAGATTTTTACTTCCACACACCCACACCCCCCTTGTCAGACCGTTTCATCAGATCCACAAACCCCATTTTTGTACATATCAAGCTGACCAGAGATTGTTTTACACACACACACACCTTGTAGGTTGCAATCAGAAAGGTTCATCAGGTTTCTAACCCCCATTGTTGCATGACGCATAAACAATTGCTGGGTTGCTACTGTTTGACCTAGGGCTCGGGAGCGAGCGCAGCGCGTTTGCAGGAATTAGCGATTGTTGTGTCTGTCTGCGGGCCACGCGAGAGACACGCGAATCCCTCAACCGCTCCCTCCCCCCCGCGCCTTCTATTCACCTTCCCCTCTCCCCCGCCCCGCTCCCTTTGTTCAGCAGATTAGCATAAAGCTGCTATGGATCTCCCGTTTAAATAATTACACACAAAAGAATACTACATGAAAGCGAGAGAAAACAAGAGAGAGCCCACGAGTCTGTTCCATTTCACCCAGCTACCAGAAGAAAAAGACCTGAAGTATTTTCTATTGCTTAAGTTTCAAGTATCCCCCAATGGCAATCTGCTCTGCTCCCATTATTCAGCTTTGGGGGGGGGGGGGGAGGCTGTATGCGGGGGAAGAGAGCAGTTCTTTTATTACGCAAAGTATACTGGGTAGAGGAGCTTTCTCTTTAAGTGGCGTATTTATGGCGATTTGTTTATGCTATTCAGGCATAGCTGCCCAAAGGCCTAAATGAACGGAAAGTTTTGTTTTTTTTCAGCCCAGGGTGGGTAAATTGATCACCGTTTCTGGAAAGAGAGGGAAAAAAATACCCGAGTGTGAGAGAACAGGACTCGATGGCATTTGTTGCAGGACCAGCATGACAAACACCCTAAAGACTGGTTTCAGAGGAACAGCCGTGTTAGTCTGTATTCGCAAAAAGAAAAGGAGTACTTGTGGCACCTTAGAGAAGACTGTTACCTTTCAGTCGTGTCACACAGCAATCCAGCATTGATTTCCTTTAGCCTCCCCAATAAGCATGTCCTAAAACTGAGTGATCAGGCAATACCCTGTAAAGATAAGTAGGAGAGAATAACTGAGATTCACATCGAGCCACATGCTGGTGAGTGGGTTGCCCCTTTCTTGTTTCTTTCTCTCTTGGTTTTGGTGTGTGTGTATGTGTATTTTATTTGTCTAGTGCGAGTGTATTTGTTCACTGATGTGTGCGTCCCTGCCTCCTCGCTGTTTAATGGGGGAGGCAGCGGATTTGTTTCTATTATCATTAGCATACAGCTGCAGGTTACACGAGCAATCCCCACACGAGCAACGTACACTTTAGCCCAGGCTTATCATCACTTCTCTCAACCAGAAAACAATCAACAGCTACTCACACATGGCTTCGTCCCCCCCCGCCCCGGTTCCTAGCCCCCCCCCCCGCTATGTCTGAATAGTGATAGACGTGTTCTACATCTTCCGCTGCAAAGAATATTTTAACTTTTTCATCTCCCTTTTTGGGGCTGTATTCGTTATACAGAGAACACCAGGCGTGCTGGGATTACGGCAGCATCTTTTTTTCACTTACATTCGTCAATCATTGTTGCGATGCAAAAGCTCATTTAGCGTCACGCTTTTTAAGATTGGAAACATGGGACAGCAGAGCGACTAGTTTCATGTGCCACATAGGATTTTTTTTTTTAATTAATCCGTGTAGCTGTCTCCCTGTGCTGCCAGAGTTTATGCCGCTTGGGGAGGGGGGGGAGTTTCAACAGCTCTGTGTATGGGGCAGAAACACGCTTGTCCTCTGCGGGTGCTGGGAGGCTACTGCCCCTGCCCAAAGGAGCGTATGCCCCACGCAGCAGCGTCCATGGGCAGTAGCTGGCCCGCTCCTTGACGGCCGGGGCCTTCTCTTTGTTCCTGCGGCTGCACTTCGGTCCAGGTTGTGCTCGCGGCCGCTCGGCACTCTGCAGCGTGGGTGCATTTTAAACAACGGCCGGGAAGCGCGTCCCTCCGAGCCCACCCTGCCAGCTCCCTTTCGGGGGTGCCTGGTGACTCTCGCCCGAAATCAGCATCCGCTAGGGCCCGCTCCCTGCGTAACTCGCAATGGGCGCCGGCCCCGTGCTCGCCCAGGCGCGGACATGTTTTTTCCTGAGGAGTGAGGCGGTGACAGCGGACAAGCACCCCGCGGAGAAGGGCGTCGCGGCGGCTGCCCCGGCTCGTTAAACAGGCCCGGGGGGCGGCGTGTGAAGGAGGGATGCCGCTGAGCGGCGAGAGGAGCGCCGCCCCCGGTCATGGTTCCCCTTCTCGCCCCCCCCCGCGGCCATCGCAGGATGCCGGGCAGCGCCCGCGAGCCCGGCGCCGGCCCGTCCCAGGCCCGGGCGCGAGACGACACCTGGCCGGAGCGCCTCAGCCCGGCTCCGTGCCTGGCTTCAGCTTTCCCGCCTTGGGCGCTCGCCTGCCGATTGGCTGGCTGCGCAGCCCAGCGCCGGCGGCCATTGGTCAGCTGGTTGCCGAGGCGCCTCCAGCCAGGGAGTTAACCCCGCAGCTGCTGGGTCACGAGGCTGCCCACTGGCGCGCCCCCTCCCCCGCCACAATGCACCTTCTGGCCGGCCGCGCGGGCCATGAACAATTCAGCAGCCACACGGCGATCTCCAGCCCCCACCGGCCATCTGCCAGCGGGGCGGGGGCTGCCGGCCCAGCCCCCCCGGCCCGCAAGGGAGCCGGCCTCCAACCCCTGCCCCCGCGCAGCCAAACTGCGGCTGCTCCTGGCGAAGCCACCAGGAGCCCGGCCAGGCCCGGATCAAATCAACACGAACTAGGCATGGCTGATGGGAGCGGGCTTTTATTGTTGAAAAGCCAGGCCAGCTTTGCATAGGAATGGCTGGGCCTGGGCCTGATGGTTCCTGCTGAATGGAGAATCCGAGGCCCGCTCCACCTACTGGAGAACTGAAAGAGAACATTTCATGGTGCTTGCTGAATGCAGCCTCAGGCTGGAAGCCATCTCAGTGCTCCCTAAGAGAGGGGCTGGGAGTCAGGGGCCCTATGGATCAAGAGTGAAAAGCGAGCCTCATTTAGCCAAGCATAACTAAACAATCCCTGGCCATGCATACATAGGCAGGTGGTAATTATTGTAGTTCAGATAACTGAGGATGCTTCCCTCCACCAGTCTCTTGTAGATATTTTGCTGAAAGAACCTTTTGAGGTATTGCTTTGGTTTTTCAGAAAGAATGAGTTCGCCATCCACTATCTGGTGAACAAGCTGGTCCAGTGATGGAAGGCCATCCACCTGTAAAAGACAGGAATAAGCTGAAAAAGCAGCATTGACTTGACAAAACATTGTGGGCAGGTATAGCTACACTAGCTTCTACGACAATAAAACAGGCAGGCTGGATATGCACACACATTTCCAAACAGCACTAGAGAAACAAATACATGTAACAGAACTCAATGGTTTGTACAACTGGATGGACTTAGTTCAGCAACAGTCTTCAAGGCTCAGGCACCAGATACATTAGGATTTGTTGATATTAGGCCGCTCGTTTGAGGCAGACACTGAAGCCTGCCTTTCACCCTTCATTCTCCCTGGCAACAAATATAGAGACAGCTGGTCGCCACATTCCTTGGATGAGGAAGGGGGTGTTTGGTGGCAATAGCTATCAGGAACGCAGTGGAAGGATTATCACACTGTGGCAGTGCGGTGACACTAATGGCTCAAAGGACACTTTGATAAGACCATAAATTTAGGTGTTAATTTAATCTTTTGGTCTGAAAATTCTCACCTATTTACAGTTCAAAAGGCTTCTGTGTGTGTGTATAGACAGATATACATATAATGTGTGTACGAAGTCTGACAAATGTTTGAGCAAGAAACAACAATTTCAGTATTTGAACTTCTTAGAAATTGAATTTCCAGACACAGTTCTGGTGCTCAGATAGTTCAGAACGGTTTATGTTTTTAAATGTCGAATCTGCAAGCAACGTGTGGCCTGATTTTCCAATCAACCCCAGCTGCCATGTGAAAACCAGGTTAGTGGTTCTTATTGAAGACAAGTGCCTTTGCTTGGAAAGCTCATACTGCACATGTGTACTATACAATTTTCTATTAATACTTTAACAGCTGGGGCTAGATTCACAAAAGGACTCAGGTACCTAGCTGCAACTTTAGGTGCCTAAAACCCAGAATATGGCCTGAGTGGGATTCACAAAATCCCTGCTCAACTACCACTGCACCTTGTAGGAGCCTAAACTCACTTGGCACCTAAAGTTTCGTGATAAACATTCCTAGGCACCTATTTTGCTCCGTCTGTGCATGCACACTACAGCTCTGCTCTAGATGTCTGGACGCTTCAGCCCCAAAGCAACGCATGAATTGGGGGGAAGGTAAGTGTTCCTCTGCTTACCTCCTCTGTGGGACCCCATCTGTAAAGCAGACTAAGAACTTGCCTACCAGATCAGGCCTCTATATGCGAGCTTACATAAAATGGCTTGGGGAGGACCTCCCTCATAACTTTTAGCCCCATGGCTGAAGTACTCATCTGGGAGTTGACTCTTCACCTAAGGGGGAAAGATGGCATTTGAACAGGTATCCACAACCTCTTAGGTGAGTACCCTAACTACGGGGCTAGAGGATATTGTGATGTGAGACTCCCTGAGTCTCTCCTGTTGAAGTTGTTCTTATGGAGAAATAATAAAAGAATCACTGGACCAGAGCGAGAGCGTATACAAGAACGAAGAATAACTCTGGAGCCTGGTGGTCAGAGCACACACCTGACAGCTGGAAGACTTAGGATCAAGTCTCCCACCTCCAATTACTTTTAAAATTATTTATTCACAGTGCAGCAGCTTCAACAGGAGAGACTGAGGGAACCCAACACCAGAATATCCCATAACCCAGTGGTAAGGGCTTGCACCTGAGATGTGGGGAATCCCTTTGAAGTGGGAGATTTCCACATCTCAGGTGAGTACCCTGACCTCTGGGCTTAAAGTTATGAGAGATGTTCTCTATTCTCCTGTCCCCTTCCAGCTTCTTGTACAATCAGCATAGGTGCCTAACTCCAGGACAGGGTGTGTAGCTGAGAAACCCAAGCAGAAGGAGGTGCCTCTCTAGATTTAGGTGCCAAATTTGCTGAGAAGGGAGGGGCTGAGGACACACCCCTCTCCCTGGCATCTCCCATTGGCTAGTTTAGGCAAGAGACACCCAGCATGCTGGCTTTTGTGAATCCATTCTGAGGCACCTTCTCCCTCCTTTCACGGGAAGCCTAGGTGCCAAACCCAGGTTTGTGAATCCCAGCAATTTTCTAGCTGCCCTTCAGGTTAAATGTAGTAATACTCAGCATCACCATGCCTCAGTTTTTTTGTGAATCTAGCCCTGGATGGAGGTGCAAAACCTCAGCTCTATCATCTGCAAGTCTACGTAGCTGGAGCGCTGCATGTTGAAATAAATACATGTTTGGGATCCTACAAAATGGGTAAATATTCAAAGCATGATCGGCTTTTGAAGATGAAGAACATCCTGTGCAAGACACTCAAATAAATACAATGTTATGGTTGAGAATTTAAACACGCAAGTTCACAGACATGGTCCACACAATGATTCTAACTTGGCTCTTATGCATGTCTTAGTTTCTCTTACTGTATGTCTTGTTACATTTTAATTGAGTTCCATTTTCTATGGTAATCAGAACTTAAAATTCCTGACTTTTGTAGTTTACAATCTCAACTATAACAATGCTAGTTAAACATTTTTACTTATTATGTTACTTATTTTTGCATTTGACTGAACATTTATTTGAATGCCTTGGTCAACTGGAATATGAGCAACAGGTAGTAAAGGTCCTGATCCTCCTGCTCCCAAATTATATAATGACAATTTAAAAGACACTTGATATATTCTAACAGTGCAGTATGTATTTATTAAGCACTTGACAGCGTGCTCAGTATTGTACAAACAGACATAGGAGATACATATTTACTAAACTTAGTGTTTCTAAATATCAGAATCTGTGTGAAGGGAATTAGAATAAAAACAGACAAAGGGAATGACAAATGTGCATTCACCCTGTCAGATATAGGACCTGATCTTGTAAACCCTCTCTCATGTGAGTAATCCTGATTCATAGGAGTAGTCCCAGTGATCTCAACAGGACTACTTGCGTGTGTGTGTCATGACTAACTCATAAGAGACAGTTTGCATGACGGATTCAGTAATCCTGAAATACGTAAGACACCATTTCCAGGCTGTCCATAGACAATAAAACAGATAGCACATAAGAGATAAGCTGTTCACATTACAATACAGGAAGCACTGCTGAAACAGGGCAGAAAATCACTACCTTCAGGCACAATTTTTTCCTTAGAATTTAATTTTCTGTTCTTTGTAAGTTGTTTTCAAGAAAATCTAAAAATAATACTTCACTTAAGTACTCTTCATATTATGACAACAGAAGAGACAATACTATCTAGCACCTTTGTATTTTATTTTAACCTTTCCTAGAGACTAGTGTGATGTTACCTCAATACACAGTTAACAATTTTGTATGGTAATTGCAGCAATCCATTAAAAAGTAGTGCAGGAATATAGAATTTCGATATGTAAAACAGAAGCGAAGGGGGTATGTGGAGGGATACGGTAGAATGGCACTAAACCACCCACTAGGCAGCAGCAAGCTTTAGATTGTAGAGAAAAAATTCTGTTTAGAGACAATTATATGTTTACAACTTTGTCTTTAGGGACTGATCCAAAGTCCACTGAATCAAGTGGCAGCCTGTCCATTGGCTTCAATGGGTTTTGAGTCAGACACTTGGAGAGGAAAAAATGGAGAAATTACTATGAATTTATGCTCAGGTCAACAGTGCAAATGACATTAGCAAATGTCTTAATTTCTCCCCATCCCTATATTTGGGAATTTCATCTATCACTGAAAAGCCATTCTGTGTTACTTTATCAGCTACGTAGCTTGTGGCCATAGGTACTTATAGAAAGATTTACATCTCACAGGATCTGAAATTTTAGGATGGTTCGTATGGTGCTTTTATATCATTATGCAAAAAAATGAACAAAACTGTATGGAAAGCAGTGTTAACTAAAGAAATGGGAATTCCAAGTCTCAGTGGCAAGTTTGCACTAGAAAACATATAAGGGGTATAAAAATGCTGCATAAGAAAATGGAGCAAGGTAAACGATGAAAAAAACATTACCAGCAACTTTGAGATTTGTAAAAATAATTAAAATGAGCAATTTCCAGTATTTACTGAATCTCCCTTATGCTGCATAGACTATGTCTATTTAGGCTTTCCAAAGTGAGTAATTAAACAGAAAAAAGTGAAATTTAAGGCAGAATATGGGAGCAAAAAAAAAAAAAAAGAAGTGCTCAACAATAACGAATTACTCCAATAATAAAATGCAATTGCGAGTCATTTTTCTTACCTGGCTGGATATTAGGATTTGGCGCAGTTCTTTCTTAAGATCAATAAACCGATCATGATAGATGGCCATGGACCAAGGTTCCCTGAAATAGCTGGTTGAAAAAGAAGAAATTTAGTTATCCAGTGAACCTCTCATTAACCACTAATAAAGTATTTACCTGCTTTTTTGCTTTTATAAATTACAGTTCTGGACCCATCATGATCGTTTGTTCATAAAATGCCTCCCGTAACAGCATGGTCAATCAATTCTTTTAATGGATGTTCCTGATGTACAGCCAGCTTCAGTAATTACATTTAAAGTGGCTTAATTCAGAGCTGTGGCAAGACCCAGTGAAGAATCCTGATTTTATCAGAATTTAAAAGCCTGAAGACCTGTAAAGAACGGTGTCTCCATTATCTGTCCTCATTTGAGAAAAGCAGATTGCAGGATTAACTGAACTCCTGCATAAACAAATTAAATTTGTGTAGACAATGACACAAATGTTGTTCATCATTAAGGTTTCTGGATTAATAAAGGCCAGAAAAACAGGCCACCACAGTGTTGCAATATGTTCTTTCTACTAGTGCACTAAAGCTAAATTGAATCTATCTTAAGAGGAACTATCTTAACATTTATATTATATCTATTGACAGAAAGCATTCATTACACTTTTTCTGTGAAAAGTTAGAAAACTGTAAGTATTTATTTATCGTTAAGGCCATAACAAGATATATAAGTAGATACTGTAAATGCAGCTAGAGGCAACTGGATGACACAGAAAATGGCTGTTTATTTCTATTTCCTATATAACGAAAAATAATTGTGGTGGTGTCAATAATCTTTAGATTACACGAGGTATATTCTCTGCTTGATGTGTGCATGCAATTCTCATTAATGTTAATGGAAGTTAAAAGGACCCACTGAAGAAAGAATAGGACCAAAAGAATCAGTGTAACTTATTATTAAACTGGGTACCAGATAAATAGGGCCTGATCCTGCAAACACTTACGCAAATCCTTAACTTTGCTCATTTCAGTCATCTCACTGATGTTAAGCATGTGCATGTTTGCAAAATTATGACCACAGTCCTTAGATGTGAACAGTGTCATTGGAAGCGTGTAGTCTATTCACATCAGTAGGATTGCTCTCATGAATAAGCAATATTGCATGTGTAACTCTGATGGGATTTGGCCTAATGTCCTTACAATAAATATATTAATTTCTAAAATAAACACTCAAATTACATAATTTTAATGACAATTTCCACAGAAAACCAGCATTCAGTTGCTTTCTAAAAGGAAGCCAACCTTTTATAAATGTTGAATTGTGATATTTCCTATCAGCAACTTTTCTATAAATAAAAGCTTCATTGGATTTCAGATATTAATGACTCAATCAACACCACAGTATGTAACTAACAGAGCTGTTCTAATTCTTCACCACACCCATCCACTTGGGTGTTATACCCCCATCTCCTTCCCTCCGGGTGTTTCTTTAGATGGTAAGCCCTCTGGATAAGGGCTTGTCTCTTTTCTGTGTTTGTACAGCACCCAGCACAATAGGGCCTCAAACAGAATGAAGGACATTTCCACAATATAAATATTTACTGCCACTGCTATTCATCTTTACCTTTCCATTTTGACAGACATAGGAGCATCTTGCAGCACACTGCTAGCACATTACCAAGACTGATTTCATCTCTATATTTGGGGCTGAAATCTTACAAAAGCTGAACTCAGCTCTAAGAGCCGCTTTTAAAAATGTACTTTAAAATGTATTTATCATATCTCTATAAGATACATACATAGACATGAAGAGTTTCCCAAAACATTTAAACAACTAACTCATCTCAAAACATTTTCCATTTAATGTCAACAGTTAGATGGCAAAGCAAGATAGGAGGGGCACAAGAAAAGATATACCAAGATAATTAAAGATGCTCACATTACACTGGCATGCATGGCCCTGTAGCCAGATATTTTTCCTGTATTTTCACCTGGCATCTTAGTTTTAGTTGTGCAATTATTACTGGTAAATCTGTTTTAACAGAGAAATAGCCATTGAGCAGGAAATAGTGATCTGAGCACAGACCTGGGAGCCTGGAATTCCCACGTTTTAATTCTGGCCCTGACATGGATTTCATCTTGTGATTGAGGCTAGTCTTTTAAACACCCTGCCTTTATGAAACTGCTTACATACCTCACTGAGATGTTATGAGGATTAAATGATGTGTGTACAATGCTTTGAGGATACTGAGTATTATTGTTATTACCAGTTCAGCTGATAACTACATCTTCAGGTACTCATACTTGTACAGTTCATCACAGCATTTCCAAATTTCGGAGCTTAAGGCCTGAAATTTTTCACCAACCTGCAGTATTTGGCTCAAATAAAAATGTGTTTACTCTGGAAGTGGACAATTTCTTGTCTATGTTTTCAAGCCTGGTTGTACAGGGGTTACTAATAGCCAGCTATTTAATACAAAATTTCCTTTACCTTATTTCAAATGGAGAAATGCAACCATTACAGAGTGTTTTAATATATAAGCAATTCTCTTCCCTTTCTGGCAGTGCATATTTATCCTTAAGACACAATCACCTTTCTAACAACCATATTTAGATTTACTCTCTCAGAATACAACACATGTTCCATTAAATTGAAGTTTAATAATGAAAACGATTCACTTGAAGCCAAACCAACAAGTTGACTTTCTTTGGCTCATTTTAAATTTTATTACCACTTCAACAGTAGTCCCTAAGGGCAAGCTGTAGAAAGCTTGAAAGTATAATGCTCTTCAGTGTACAAGATGAACCTGGCATGCTACCAACAGAAGCTCAGAGGCTCCTCAACTATCATGAGAACAGCATCTGCCACATGTGTTTGCACCATTTAGTCTTTCATAACCTGCCAAAATGATCAAGCTAAATATGTACAAGATGACTGTTTGCCAGGGGCATAACCGATTTTAAAACATGGTCACTTCTTAAGGGGGGATCCCCTGCTGGTAGGCTTTTATATCTATAGAAGCTATCATTGGAAGGCATTTGTAACTAGATGGGGCGAAATGGTCTCCTTTTGAAGACAATATGTGACATCCTTTTTGTTGCTAGGAAGCTGTTCTCTCCTTTCATTGACAAACAATACATAAAGTCTGTTCTGCCTCATCTGTGATGTGTAACCTATATTAGATGAAGGGGAGAAAAAAGAAAATTATCTACTGGCATCCTATGCAATAGGAGTTGAATCTTTTTAATTTAAAGGGGGGGGGCACATGATAAAAATGAGCAGATAAAGTTGGCCAATCTTGGGAAATAATAATGTGGTATTTCTGAAATCTGCATGTAAATAGATTCCCTTCCAAAACCCATCTATTTTTAGTCTCCAGACTCTTATTTAATGTACTGCTATACACCACTTTCATATGACAATGTTTTTTTCAAGAATTCTGAAGCAGCAGTAGCTCTCTGATGCTTACTGGTACTTTAAAAAAAAAAGAAATGAGGACAGCACACTGACCCTTGTCCGCACTTGCACCACTTAAGTCATCCACACCATCCAAAACATAAGATCTTTCCTTGGATGTGAACATGTAAAAAAAAAATATCTAAAGACTTTGAAAGTTGTGAGGTACTTTTACACTGAGAATGCCAAGCTCAGCATCCACAACAAGAAACCATGACAGAAATAATTAAAGGGTTAATAAGAACTTTATCACATCAAAAAAGTCCCATGACATCTGAGTAATGGGCAACTGTAGTGAATGATAAAAAAAGAGAATAGGAACTACAGATCTCTCAACAGAGCCCATATTCTGCCAGGCACAGGTTATTAGCCATTTAGGCATACTCCGAAAAAGGAATATAGACATGACACTCATTTTTACCACTGACACTGCTGCACTGAAAGATGAGCCCCTCTTTCAGGAAAATTAAACCAATCACATCCCCACCACAAACCCACCATAAGTTGTTAAAGATCTGTCCAAAATGAGCAATCATGCAGAGTAGATAGTATAATGTTGTGAAGTCTTGTGATTTTCACCATGAATTTTGTGATAGTTTGTGTTTCTCTTCGTCTCAGCTGCTGGACTTCCATGAGTGTGGAAGAATTTTAGCTTTCATTAAATAAGTAAATAAAAAAAGGAAAATAGCCATCATAGTCGTAGAGAAAAGCTTGAAAATATGACTCAAGTGTATTATAAAGACACACACACACACACAAAAGGTAAAAAAAAAGTACCCAATATTCATTACATTTTAAAATCTCATGATTTTTAAGCCAATCTGTGTGTGTGTGTGTATGTGTCTGTGTCCCAACTTATAGTTTTTTAACACTGATGTTGTAAGGCTATGTAGATTTTCTTAATATGATATAGCCCCTCCTTTTTCACATACTTCAATGAACAGTAGTATATTTAACAATGTTGGCATTTAAAGTGTCATCAGTGGCATCTGAGTTAGCACCAACTGTAATGAATATGGCAGTTCGTACTTCAGCGCTATAGTTTCAGACTCCCTGGCAAACACTGCTGCACACTTAGGTCATGCTTTCAAGGTTTTCTTCACAACCAGAACAGACAAAAATGTACCTAAAAAAAAGCAAGCAAGCAAGCAGGGATTCTGGAGGACAGCTGAGGGGCCCTTTTGTCCCCCAAGCTGGCTTGTCTTTGAGGTACACCCTACACTTTGGGAATGGCTGACTTACTGACCCATTAAACTACCCAGGAAAAACCTCTTCCTTCTGGTGAGTTTATTAAATGATCTGAATTTTGTGTCTGTTGAGACAGTTTTTTTTCTAGAATAGAATCATGTTAATATAATTTAAACAAATGTAGAAAACAACCTGTATAGATAAATACTATAAGATTTCTACCATTGCTATATTGCCTTATGCTACCGATTTTTTGGCTCTGCTCTCAGATGAGACCAAGGAGTGTGTGTGGTGATGGCTGGTGGCTTTTCAAAGGCACAAAGGGTAGTTAGGCACCCAATTCCTGCCAAGAATCAATTGGGTCTGGGTACGTAACTGCCGTTTGAAAATATTGGCACAAGTTACCACTATGCTTGCAGCTAGAGTTATTTATCCATGGTGACAGAGAGTCCCCGCTTGGTG